CCTTGGTCGAATCATGAATGTCTCACACATACACATTCCCTCGATAGGATGAGCAAAATCGGAATGAATCTTCTGCTGAAACGGAGAAATATACACTGCTACTTTTTGATTTACTTGTTCTATCGATCCAAGTAGCGTGCGGGGAGCGTGGGGCTGGAGACTTAGTTGTTGGCCGAGGTTGGAGTTTTTATATAATAGCAGGGCGAGGCGGGCAGTCTGGCAGTGTGTGTGTGTGCAGCGGCCTTGGCCTTGGTGCTTCCGCATTGCGATGACACTCATTTTTCCCCACGTGTCACTCTCTGGGTGCTGCACCTTCTTTCCCCTCTTTCACCGTACGCTCGCTTCGAAAATGACCAAAAATCCCGCTATCGGGATTACACAATTTTCCCGCATTTGCAGATGGGTTGGGTGGGAGCGGGGACTGTTCCCGCTCTGATACCAGTGTGACGGACCCGCCAAGATGGCGGTCCGTCATGATGAAGACGAAGGGATGAGGATGGGGGAGATGGAGATGGAGCTGGAAGGGACAGCGCAGCTCCAACGCAGACTCAACACACATGTACTCTAAATTGTGCAAATGAAAAATGCGTCTGAAAAGAGAGTGCAACTGGGGTATACCTCCAGCACCAGCGGACTGGACTGGACTGGCCTGCTACCGACAGTGGTACCGGGCAGGACTGGACTGGACTGAATGAGCACACGGCCTGTGGGGTCAGGGCACGGCCTGGTCCCACAGGCAGAACAGGCAATATAGCCAGATGGCCCTGCCTCCAGGCCAGGGCAGCTAGAGGCGCTATTGTCTGTCCAGATGATCTCACAGATAAGTCCTCTCACTGCTTGTGCTAGGTAGCCCCATCCCTTCTTTCCCTGGTCTTCATCTGGTAGGAACCCCAGCGGAACCCAGAGTTCGTTCCAGTCCACTCCTTTTCTGCTCATTTGCCCCCAGTGATATTCCCACCATTTCCACACTCGCTTCGAGGAAGGGCATTCCCACAGGGCATTCCCACCACAGGTGTCGTGTCGACTCCAAAGGCCAGTTGCATCTGGCCCAGCGCAGATCCACCTCCATCCCCTTCGCTTTTGGTGGGCATACTCCCGTACGAAAGGGAAACCCCCCCCCCAGAAAAAAGGGACCCGTTTTTATGCATCGCTGTGTGACTCATTGGCCCGTAGTATAATCGCATTTGGAGACCAGACCAGGTCGAGACCAGGCCTACTGTAGACTGTTTCGTGACGTATACTGGTGTGCAGTGTGACCAGGCAGTACCATATAATCGCAAATTTGCGACTTTACATGCTATGTAGTGTGAGTATGCCCTAAGAAGGAACCCCAGCACCAATGGGCGAGGGGCGGGTGGGTACCATCATGCGACCGACCGCATTTGGGCTGAGAAAACCAATCGGCGCGTGCCGCACGGAGGGTTGATCGGGGTCCCACGTCAGGGTGGCAAAGGGGAAAAGGGGAAATGGTAACGGTGGTGAAAGTGGTACGGTGCCAACAGTCGTCGGATCTCCTTCATTGAGGTGAGAGGCGATCTTTGTCAGGCGCAACAGTGATGCGATTTTTGTCAGGCGCAACGGTGATGCGATTTTTGTCAGGCGCAACGGTGATGATGATCAGGGAAGGAAGGAGAAAGAAATAAGGTGGATGAGGAGGAAGGAAGAAGGAGGAAGGAAGGGGAGAACGTTGTCTGGTCGTGCAAGCACGACGAGGAAGGAAGGAATGTGGAAGTGGAGGCGTAGTGGAGAAAGAGAAAGGAGGGAAGGGACGATCACAGATCTGCTCTTTCTGAGCCAGGCCCGGATGCGTCACGGATTCCAAGGTTGGCGAAGAGAAAAACGGTAGGAGAAGGAACAGGAGGAAAAGCAGCAACAGGAGCAGCAGGGTAGAGGAGAAGTTCGATAGCGAGGAGGGCCGGGAAAATACCGGCGAGGAGAAGCACTGAGGTGGAAAAGGGCGTGTGAGATATCGTCTGAGCAGTCCACGACTTCGCCGGCGAAGATGGGGTGTAGTAACAGCAAGCCTGGCAGAGGTAATCCCATCCAACTGGAAGAACTACTTTGACAGTCTGGTCATGGATGTTGAGTCCGGATCGAACTATTGAACTTTCGCAAAGCAAATCGCTCTCTGTCCTTCTAATAAACTGAGTGAGAGAGGTAATTTCTTTACGCTGCGGTAATTTCTCTACGCTGCCGTAACCATCTATGCTAATAAGGTTTACCGCTCGATGGTCTCAGTGTTGTACTAGACTCGTGATGATGGTGCTCCTCCAGCGGGAGGGAACTACGGGCCGATTGCATACGAACGTCGAGGTACTATGCGTTGATGGTTAGACACGCGAATTAGTCTGGTCGAGTTTACTATTATGCCCGGTGGTGCTTATTTTGGAGCTTTCTTTTTCTTTTCGTCCTCTGCTTCTTCTTCGACTTGCAGTTCAGGACGCTGCAGCTCACTTTCACGTGGTTATTCTCTGCCGCCTCTGTCAGCTTTTTCCTGCTCCGTCGTCGTCCTCCACCTCCCTTCTTTCTTCTTTCTTCTTTCTTCTTTCTTCTTTCCTCCCTTCCTCGCTTTCTGTTTCCCTCCTTCGCTTGCTCGTTCCTTCCTTCCTTTTCCTCTTCTACTACTACCGCAATGCTGACAACTATCACAGCTACTACTACAGCTACTACTACTAGAACTACTAGAACTACTACTAGAACCACTACTAGAACTACTAGTATTACAACTACTGCTAGAACGACTAGTACGACTACATGAACATCCACTAGAACCACAACAAAGCAACACCACCGACAGCAACGACGACGACGAGAAAAGCATCAACACGTCTGCGGTCGCTTCTAGTACTACTACCACGTGCACGCGGACGTATACGCAGAGGTGTGCCCGGAAGGGGATGCGGATCCCAGTCTCGAAATTTGGTACACAGAATTTGCTGTGTTCTGTCGCGTTTAGACTTTTTCAGGCAACGGGCGATATGATTTTGTTCTGATGAAGGCAATTCCTTCTGGATCGAGTAGAAACAATGCCGACCCGCGCATAGATTTCGTTGTTTTCCTGATGTAGAAGGTTCTAGGATTCACATTGTTCCAAAAGGTAAAAGGGAAAAAAAAAAGGGATTGACCTGGTTTCTTAGCTGAGCAGAACGGTGACCTTCTTCGAGGGATTTTAGCGGACAGGAAAACCGAGGAAGGCAGGTGTTCTTTTTTTTTTTTTTTTTTTTTTTTTGGAGCAATGCCGCGTCTTCCCACGGGCTTTTCGGAGAAAATAGTGTTTGAAATTTGGGTATAGATCGATCAGTTGTGTTCCATCTTCATCAGGAAGTAAATACACAGATCGTCCTCGACATACATGAAATGGGGCCGGAAAACTGTATCCAGCAAATGAAAGATAAGATAACTTTATGAACACAAGATGAGAACTATAAACACGAAATGGGACCTGGTGGGAACAGCCTTTTGAAGCTTTTTCGTGTATATATACATATATCGTTTGTTGTCCTCTTCTCTCCCTCTCTGCCTGCGGTTTACCGGGCAGCTCTGTTTGACGATGTATATATTTCTGATACGATGTATATTTCTGATATATATACCGTCACAGAAATATACATCGTCAAACAGAGCTGCCCGGTAAACCGTAGGCAGAGAGGGAGAGAAGAGGAAAACAAACGATATATGTATACATACACGAAAAAGCTTCAAAAGGCTGTTCCCACCAGGTCCCATTAACCGTAGGCAGCGAGGGAGAACATTTATATATTGTCAAACAGAGCTGCTCGGTAAACCGTAGTCAGAGAGGGAGAGATAAGGACAACAAGCGAGGGGCTGTGACAAACTCTTTCGTCGGAGTTTCACCGACTGAATCATCAGGAGGCTGAACCCTCAACAGTCTGCAGAATCCCTTAACTGATTACACTGTAAGTGATAATCCACCTTAACCCCGGTTGTGGTTAAGCATCAACGACTGCCCGACAACTGATACCCCTCTGAGGTGGTGGGGACCACCAACCACTGCCCTCAAGGTACCTGTGACGAAAATCAAAGCAGACTATCACTCACCCACACCATATGAAAAACTGTACAGACTGTCGGTTCAGCCTATCATATGTTTCCATGCTTGAATCTTGTTCGTGTAGATTGCTTTTCTCGTTTCTGTAGCTTCGCCAGCCTTCGTTTTCATGTAAGGACTCCTTGTCATGCTTGAGGCTTGTTCGTGTATATATTGCTTTTTCATGTATTGTTTTTTTTTTTTTTTTTTTTTTTTGATGTACGTATATCTATTTCAAGTACGTATGGTTTTCAAAATTTTCTCTCTACTGAGTACTAGTTTTTTTTTTATCGTTTTTTTAATCTAGATAAAGTTTGTTCACGTATATAGATTTATAGATATATAGAAATTGGAATTGGCTATTTTGATCGTGCCGTTAAAATCATGAGTACGAACCTCTGCTTCCTGGTCTCTCTCGTCAATTGCTTCAATTTGCTTGGCTTTTGCTATATAGCATGTCCCTTTTTTTTTTTTGGTCTCCTGTATCTTCCAAGTCTTCAGACACTGGGGCATACCGTTGCCCGTGAGCGTCGTGCATCTGTTGATCCGCTCGACACAGTAGTGAATCGTCTGCGGCTAAGATTTCTGCATGCCCCGACGGCTTGTTTGCGCGCCGGGCTGCTTGCTTGCGCGCCGTTTTCTCTATTCTGCTAGCAATACGTCCGCAGGAAAGTGCTAATCCGAGTATATATGCGCCCTTACGATGAGTAAAAATATGACCAGATGCAGTCCTTAAAGTCGGAATGGGCCGAAGCCCTAAGAAGTTTCTGACTGGCCGTCTTTTGGGATCATGTACGTCGCTGAATTCTTTCACTTCCTCCAAGTCCTGGCTTTCAATCAACATCCGATTTTGAGTAGCATCGTCGTTTCTTAGGGCATCTGCAACACAACTTGGGCTGTGCTGAATGCATCTGACCGCAAGACCAGCATGTGTGAATCCGAAATGTCCGATTTTCAGTGTGCTCTTTGTTTGTTAACTTTGTTTCGTTTTTTTCCTACCCTGAGGCTATTATGAGAGAGAAAGGGGTGCTTTGAATTGACTGTGCGTTTAACCGGGGGGTTACCACCGACTCGTTGGTTTACGGCCCTCTGCCATGTCCGCTTGTGGGCTGTAAATGCATCGAAAGGTATTTCGCTATGGGAGAGAAAGGAGTGCTTTGAATTGACTGTGTTTAACCGGGGGGTTACCACCGACTCATTGGTTTACCGTCCTCTTCCATGTCCGCTTTTGGGCTGTAAATGCATCGAAATGTACTCTCACGTAACAGACATGCTTATATGACGTTATACGTGTATATCATATCCAGATGAGCTTCATGGTTAAGGAAATTAGTTGCGCCTGCCAAAGTCTTCAGGGGCTTGCGGCTTGCGTCGGTAAGCAAAAGTTTGTCTTGTATGATTTTTTGACCGTTTCCCCATCGGGCTGTGATTGGCGCCCCGCAAGGTTGGCGATTACTGCATTTCTCGAAGCATCGCCGGGCGATCTACAAGCGGTCGAGTGGGTGAAGTGTCGCTCGCTCGCGATAGGAGTGGGTCAAGTCCACGAACCTCTCCGCCGCTACCAGCTGGTCTCTTCAAGGCAATTGTAAAGCTCTAGAACTTCGATTCTCTAGAACTTCGATTCAGGCGCTCGCTGACTGCATAAGAAAACAGACGTCGTCGGGCCAGAAGCCCCTCCTGTCTTCATTTGAAGACGTGGTCGCCTCGACCTTCATCTCCTGTTTCTCCTCATTCATAGGAAGACGGAAGTAGACTGTTCACCGAGTCGGACCTGCACAGGGTTCTGGCCAGTGTAATGCTTCGGGGGGTTTTGCGCCCGAGGGGCTGGGTACGCAGAGCCCGTTTCCCGCCTTGAGATGGCAATCCTCGACCGAGTGCACACTGACCTGGGGTCTGAGGCTCTCAAATCGATTGGGTGAAAACCCCTAAGGAGTCTGTGCGTGTGTGTATAGGGGGGAGGGGTGTTAGGGAGTTACGATGTGACCAATCACCCCCAGGCTGGCTGTGCGATAGATAGAAAGCCTGTTTTTTTCCACCGGCAAGGAGGTGTGAATGGGAAGTCAGAGAATCCAGGGCTCAAGGTTTTGATCTTAACCCCTCCCGCCGCCCTCTGCTCGCTGGCACTGACTGCTTCCTCTTCTCCGTAGCAGAGCGTAATACGAGGCAGATCGAAGATCGACGGAGGTGGGTCTAAAAAAATTTAGGGAGCTATAGGGGATCTTGGGATGGGCAGGAAAGGAGAAAGGTCCGGGCAAGGAGCGGTTTTTCCAAATCAGGGGGGGGGCTAATCCGCTCGCTCGATTTGATCACCCCCCGACATGAGCTGTGTGACGACACATCGCGAGCTTCTCTACTGACTCGTACACACGTGCGGGTACTTAACTAATCAACTCTTCCATGACGTTGCCGTTGTTTTTGGGGAAGACAACGCACGCTCGATTTGGCTGCACTGGACCGGAAAGATAGTTTGTGTACATTCGTTATCAGAGTGCGTTGCGTTGGGGGAAGGCGGTAGTAGTGAGATGTATTGAGAAGAGGAAAGGGTGTGGTATGTGACGAGAAACCCAAACAAGAGAATTCCTTCATTCCTCCCCCCCCCCCCCATTCACGAGCTGAGCTTCGAGCTTTCTTCCAATCTACCGGTGATCTTACTTATTTGTATTGTTTATATCTTGTACGGGCGAAATCTTGATGCGTAAAACCATGATTTCGAAAACTTGAAGTCCAAAGATCCAATATTAAAAAATTCCCCCTAGGCGGGAGTTGTCTCTAATATGCCGTAGAATGAAATCTGCGCTGTGCAGATGCATAGACCGCTTCCCGGTTACCGATGAGATTGTCAGTGTCCATAGAACAACGGCAGCGCCACGAAACGCCGCTTGCCCAAGGGAGTAGAGGGGGCGGACGACGGTAAACGTGGATGGCGGGCGGACCAACGCTCACGTTGGCCAAGCGAATCCGAAAGAACGAACTAAGAATGGCCTAGCTGATTACGAAGACGGAGAGGAGAGGAAGTATGGGTGCTAGTAGTGTTCTTTTGTTCGGCGTTTGTGAGGATAGGAAACTGGGAGACGGACGGACGGACGATTAGAAAAGAAGATGGAGGGAGGAAGAGGAGAAGGAGGAGGAGGATCAGCAAGCAGGAAGGACTAATGAAAAGAGGGAGTCCTCTCTCGTTCTTCTCGGAGGAGGAGGAGGATGATGACAACGAGTGGGAAAAGAAGAATTAGGGGAAGGAAGTGGTCTTTGTCGGTTGAATGAATTCTGGGCCAGCTAGCTAGTGGGCTGGTATACGGAGGAGAGGAGTGAGGAGAAGGAGAACAAGGACAAGGAGGAGAAGAAGAAGGAGAATAAGAAGGAGAAGACGATGGAGAAGAAGAAGAAGGGGAAGACAAAGAAGGGAGGGGAGAACAGAAGAGTTTGGGGTCAGACCAAAAAGCGACCAGTTGAGACGATTGTTATTTCTTTCCGTGTCAGTCAGATCGATGCTGGCGGACTGGCGGTCGTGCTTCTGAAGCGACGCAACTGCAGAATCATTAGCAGGAGGATGGGCTTTCGGTTACATTGTCCCGTCGACGTAGAGTCCGGGCCAGTCCCACCATGGCTGTTTATCCGCACGAGCCTTAGGCTGGATTGATGTGGGAGGCGCAGTTAGCCAGTTCCAACAGCCAGTGGTAGTCTTTTCCCCCATGGCTGTTGAACCGCACGAGCCTCAGGCTGGATTGATGCGGGAGGCGCTGTCACAGCCATGTTGATGTACATTCCGCAGAGTTGGCGGAATATGCGCAAACGGTTCGATTACCGCGCAGCGAAGTCGAGTCTATACTTCGAACGTCCACTGAATACTTTCCTTCTAGTTTTTACTACCCAGCCGGGTTTCGTCGTATTCACACGAGCACTTTCCGTAATGAATTTGGCCGTCATTTCATCCGGAAACATCCCAGCGTGAGAATGCCCTAAAGCTGAGGAAAACATGAAATTCCGTGCAGAGGGTTGGTTGGTGTTATGGGGACTGTGTGTGTAAATATCAACCACGGCGTATGCGTTGTTTATAACATGGACAATATTCTTTCACCAAAGGGCCTTTTCCTATACAACCCTCCACTGACCGGGACAAGGGAAAAATATACCGGGGGGTCGTATGGGTACATGTAGTGCGAAGTGGTCCACTGTCCCTGTCTGAGGAATCCCGGCCCCATTTACTTTTTGAGCAAATAATTAGAGCCTGCAATTATGTATACTATTAGATAGATCTCCGCTGCTGAAATCAATCGGCTCACATGTATATATTCTCCTGCATGTGTATATTGAAAGACCAGCTGGCGAAAGCAGTGCGAAAGTTGTTCAAAGGTGGGGAAGGGGAAGAAGAGGGCCTGACCCTGCTCAGGAGCGACGACATGAAACAAATGTTTTCCTCCCTTCCCCCCCCCACGACGCTATCATGGAGGCAGTATGCTGGCTGCTCAAGGAACGGAAGGGAAGAGGAGTCACCAAAAAATCGGTGGTAAGGAAACGGAGGCGATCCTGAACAAGCGGAGTCCCAGGAGTGGATAGGCCAGTTGAAGAGCTTCAACCTGATCAGGAAGCACGTCACGGTGGTGTTTGAGGTAGCACACACGCACACAGCCTGCAAGGGAGAGCTGCTCAGTCACTTGGTCGGCATGTACCATTGCGGAAGAACTTGAGCCGCCTGGCAGTGGCATGCCTCCTCGGCGCTTGGTACCAGGCGAGTTCCATGACCTCTGTGGGAAGATACACGAAACTGGTGCACGGCTCGCGGCACTGGCATGCATCGTCTGCGCTTGGTACGAGACGAGTTTCATGACCTCTGTGGGAAGAGATAGGAAGCTTGTCCACGGCTCCCGGTTCATGAACGACGTGGCGATGGTGGACAGGGTTAGCTGGGAGGATGATGCAATCTTCTCCGAGGCCGACGAGCAATTGCCCACATTCCAAAACGGCTAGCTATGGCGGAAAGCTGCAGCTCGCGCGTACAGATGAAGGGGACAATACGATCGACTTTATCGGGTCGAGGGTCATGGCGAGATCATTCGCCAGTTCGGTTCCCGGTTGAACCAAAGGTCAAGTACCGAGATGGGATAGCAGCCGAAGGGCTACCTTTCGCATCATTTCAGGCTTTTTGGTCCGTCTCTGACGAGAGGGCGAAGCAGGGAGCCATTGCCAGCTCCCTGCGCAGAATCACCCAGACGGCGAACGCGAACGACACGCGGATTCTACCCATGCTCACCATCAAGCTGGAGGGGTACCCCCGGCGTTCTTCTCCAGGGGCCTAGTGAGGTTTACCACGGCTACCATGGCCAACTGGGAGACAGGCCCCGCGCCCATGGTGGAAGCGATAGCAGTGAAGTAGGAGAACTTCAGGCGGTCCTCCACCCTTCTGTATCTTCGGATTTCCTGAAATTTGAATTCTGTGTTCGGCAATTGATTGGTGTTCTGTCTTTCAGCATTTCCCGTATGTACGTAATTCGGGGTTAACCTGGTTTTATGTATTTAGGATTTGCAGTATGCTGTTCCATCAAGACATGTAGGATTTTGCAGTATTTTACGTCATTCTGCTGTAGGAAAGCACACGGAGTTTTGTAATTACCAGGGTTGTATGGTATTTTGTCCGAGGGACTGGACATGATTAGATTATTAGATTATTATAGGCTTAAAGAACAGTACACGTGGGCTTCCCATCCGTGTGTACTATAGTTGGTCAGGTAAGCCCACGGACTTCGAATGCCCGCCTAATGGGCAGAAACGGGCGGTTTAGTTCGATGAGAAGCAGAGCAGGCAGGCTGAGGCGGAAACACGAAGGGAGCACATGTAGCTAAGGGGTTGAAATTTTTGAATTCGTTTTTTTTTTTTTGTTTTTCCCCTGGAGAAGGGGTTGAATTTTTGAATTCGTTTTTTTTTTGTTTTTCCCCTGGAGAAGGGGTTAAAATTTTTGAATTCGTTTTTTTTTTTTTTGTTTTCCCCTGGGGAAGGGGTTGAAATTTTTGAATTCGGTTTTTTTTTTTTGTTTTTCCCCTGGAGAAGGGGTTGAATTTTTGAAGTCGTATCGAGTAGGAAGAGTGGAGTCAGTTGCAAGGGCCGCGGGCGGTATTGCCATGCCATGCGGGAGAGTTGAATTGAATGGAGTAAAGTGTCGGCTCTCTGGCGCATATGAAGGAAGAGCTGTTGCTAACGGGCAGGGAAGCACTTGTAGATCGGGGGTCTTACGCTTCAGCCAAGCAGGAAAGAGTAGCGCAGGCGATAGTGGACGGCGGGCGACACGGGTAAGGGGATCCCAAGCTGGCCTCTGTATCGAAGGTGGAGTTGCTGATTGTTCGGGAGATGGCATACTATTTGAAGGGCAAGGGGAGATGGCCCTCTACCCTCACTGGTGGACTACTGAAGATGGTAAGCCGCAAGGGTGGGTGCGGAGGAGAGCTTCCTGAGAAAGACCGGAGCACAGATGTTGCAAACGCGTGGAGGATTGCGTGCATCCTGAGTAATGGAACACGTGACTGCATATGGTTTCTATGTGATCTTGTCCTGTTTGGAAGCAAGCGTGGGCCATTGCTGTTCCTTCACTTCGTTATCCTTTCCATTGCTGTTCCTTCACTTCGTTATCCTTTCTTCCTTTTCTGCTACTAGGTAGTGGGCTGTTCCTGAGAGTTTCCCGCTTCTAGTACTTCGACCATGTGTGCATTGCAGGGACTGTGATGATTCTCATGGCGTTCGCCTCTCAGCCACTCTCTATCCACGAATGTATACAAAGCACGGGGCTTTCAGACCAGTGGCCATCTCCATTGCAGACTGCCAAAGCTGTTGATTCATGGATAAGCAATGAGCACGAAAAGGTTTCTGCGCGAAATTTTATAGTGTAGAGGGCCGTCGCCCCTCTTTCCCGTCTTATTCAGGGGCGGGTAACCCTTAAGGCTATTATCATATGAAGGGGGTTTGAACTCTTGACCTCTTTATCGACACGTCCTAACCCTTAACGCTATTATCATATGAAGGGGGTTGGAACTCTTGACCTCTCTATCGACAGGTCCTTGTCTGTAGCATTCAACCACAAGGCAACTGAATCTGACATTCATATTTTGTGACTGTTAGACTCGTCTGCAATTCTGGAGATTTTGACTTTTCTTACTTTTGCGATTCTTGTTAGACTCGTTTGCGATTCTTGTCCTTACGTCCGTGGTCCAGAAACTAGTTAATTCGGGTGATCAAAGGCTGGGAATGGCAGAATCGTTTTGGGGCTTTGAATCCCGGAGATTGTGGATGAATGTGCCAGAATTGTAAACAAGTCTTCTTATTTTATGTGTCAATCACGAAGTGGTAAACACCTGTCCTTCCGATCTGAGGCCCGTCGTTATGGGCGACGGTTGGATTTTGTTAGGGTGGGTGAGGTAGGTGGGGTGTGGGAGGCTAGAAGGGTATGGATGGGGCGCTGGGGCAGATCTTCGAGCCTCAGTAAACTGGCACTTAGACGTGGTTGCGCTGAAGGGTCATCCACGACCGGTTAGAGCTTCTACTCGAGCTCATGGCAGTGTCGAGCCGCATCAGTGTATGTTTTTTTTTTGTCAAACATCGTCTCCACAAGGCGCCTTCAAGAATACACTGAAGAGCTATAGTCTTGACGACTCTTTGGTATAATGGACGGGACTAATTGGGTGGTTCTGGAGATTCTGAGTTTTCTTACTTTCCCATGGATGAGGTAGTAGATCCTGCAATTACTATCGAAGTGATTGGACATCAATGGTATTGGACTATGTCAAGTATAACTCAGAAGAGCAGGAGAAAAACAATGATCAAATTACAGTCAGTCACTCTCAATATGACAAATCGGAAATTATCTTCATGAAAATCACAAAACATATGGAACGTGCAGAAAAAAAATAGTGCACGCAAATCTTAGCTGTGTGCTTGTGGACAACGATTATCAACGACTGCAGGCAGATCGGAGTAAGTGGGACCTTGGCCCTTTGTTTGTTAACCCGTTGGACTTCCGTAGCCACAGAAAGAGAAGGATGAAACTGCCGTCCATCTCAGGATAGAAAGTGGGTATAGACTCAGGATAGAAAGTGGGGGTCTATATTGCTTCATTTGGGACTATTTTTCGTAACGGACAATGATGAACCCACTTTCTATGTTGGGGAAGACTGGCAATGGGTAGGCCTTATTGCATAGTCCAGAGAGCGGCCAGGGAAGTGAAGAACGGGGCCGCCAAGGGTGGGGAGCCAGGAGTAGAGTGCTGCTGTTCCTGTCACAGAATCCAGAGTAGGTGTTATGTAGGAAGTGGTGGTCATTTCCTGTTGCAAGCAAACTGTGTCCTTCAGCAAGAGGCCTCTTTTATCTTTCTGATGAAAACCGGTAGCCGCTACTCGAGGGGGTGATAAGAGCAGCCCCCCCTAGCAGGTACCCCGGTTGCTCCATCTATTGGTGGGGAGCTGCACCTGCCGGAAAACGGGTCCAGCGTCCCCTGTATAGAAACTACAATCAGGTCAATCATTCATTCCTGCCAGCATTGATTGCCCCGGGCGATCCGGCGGATTAACTGTGCGGGT